CCAGTTATCCAACTCCAAGATGATTCAAAGCGCTAGCTTAATTATTACATCAAACCACCTGCAGACAATACCTTGGTGGATGGTCTATTAAGGCGGCTCTACTCTAAGTTTTCAAGCATATCCCAATATGGCGAGGTCTTTGTGGCTTGTCTAACCAGTACCGCCCCTGCGTTGTGACCACATCAACTCTAGTTTATCTTCAGTCGGCATGGCTTACTCGGATTTTCAGGCATTGTCCGCTCCGTGGCCTAGGCCCCCGAGTCACGAGGATCGATGATTGCACTCAACTGCTCAGACAACGCACATCCGAAGATTGGTAGCTTCGCACTCTCAGGAAAATAATCATCTGCTACCGTTTATCCGAAAACCGCCTCCGTAACTGTAAGCACGGGTGACAGCGCCGTATTTGTTGGTTGACTTATGGTTGCGAGCTGTCAGCGGTAGTTTCGATCGTCAAGACCGACACTTGTGGCTGATCTTCCCACAGATTCCTCCGAGTTCTGTAAACCAGACCCATGAAGCGCATCCCTCATCCTCGAAGGAAATGAGCAACGGTAATTACACATTTCTGAGCTGTCCGTAATCCTCAAGTTCGCCTTAATAGAAGCGTTAATGTTGTCATCAGGGCGTGGAGCTTCTGCACTTGAGTAGAGGGTGCACGCTAGGGTCTCAATCGGCTTGGTCATGGAAATGAGCAACGGTAATTACACATTTCTAAGCTGTCCGCAATCCTCAAGTTCGCCTTGATAGAAGCGTTAATGTTGTCATCAGGGCATGGAGCTTCTGCACTTGAGTGGAGGGTGCACATTAGGGTCACAATCGGTGTGCCTCAGAGCACACAAGGATTTGCAACAACTAGGGGACGGACTAAATCTTCAACAGTGGACCTTTGTTGATCAGTCTATCCTTTTTTCACTCAACTGGCTTTGTTGTCCCTATTGTTGTCCTTGCTGTTATGGTAACATTGATGGTTTTTTGGTTGGTGGTGGCAAGCAACTCCATCGGAGTAACTTCGCAGGATTTAGGCGCCACTGACACTCAGCATGCACTGTGCACCTCTTCCAAAACCAGTCGGCTTTTATTCCACACAATAAAAATTTCTACGCAAATAGCTTGAGTTCCTCCTCGGCCTCGACCAAAACTAGGCTGAGGCAAAAAATTATTTACGGTTTGGCCACCCATCTGATCAGGCTAGCATCCCTTGATCGTGCTTCCTCCCCATCTCGAGGGAAGTCTACCAAGAACATCGGCTGTGGTCAAGACTGGCCGCCGCAGCTCTCTGTCACTTTTCGACTTTAGGACTCAAAGAGCACATCTCAGCCATTCGGCAACAACGAAATTTTGGATTTAAGATTCTCGGGCATCAAGGCCCCTCCTGTGGCATCCGGGTTAGATTTTTTACCGTTTTCTTCCCTCCGAGCTAAAGCTGCTCCCGTAAGTCCCTATCCTCTCTCGGATTTGAATGGGAAATTAGTGCCGTACGATCAGATAATGCATCAAATTTGCGCAAAAATATCGGTCGCAACAAGTCAGCATGCTTGGAGCCAAAGTAGGTTGCTCTGCCCAAAGCATTTTTTTAGGAAACCGCTCCTTTTTTAGTTGCCTTAAAAAGTGTAGTAGTCATTTCTCAAGCTTATTCCCCCGGCTTTGTGAATTAGGCAGCTTCCGATGGATTCTAACACACCATAAGGTTGAAAAGATAACCAGGAATGAAAGACATCTTTATAATAATTTTTTAGATAAACCGAGCTGGCCAAGTATCCAAGGCATCCAGCGATGGTCGGTACATTTTTTACAATCAAATTTAGTTTCCGTAGCCTGTAGTTTGCAGGAGTAAACAAAAAGTCTTGTTGGAAAGCATTAGACACCAAGTGGGGTAAGGTCAAGGCCCACCTGCAGCCAAGTCAACCGGCGAGGGAAATCCGCTCATATTGTGAACTCTTACCAGTTGGGCAGCCTTTATTATGGTACGCAACATTTAGATGAAGTCAATGACCTGATGTCTAACAGAATATATACCGAGGGCCTTAACACATTCAGAGTACGCCATACCGATGCCCGGTGTTCCTGGTCGCAACTTGCTTTTCCTGAAAAAGTTTTTCATCACTAAGTATTTGCCAGTTAACTCAACATAAAATACTTAAACGCTTGCCTACAAGAAAATATGTTTCATGCGGTGGATGGTAAGATAGTTGGAGTAAGAAACCGAGGGCTTCTGTGAGATGCGCACAGCCCATGATTTTTAACAAGGATTCACAGGTTTATCGATTGCTACACATGAACAAGGCCTCCGCCTAAGTCTCAAGGGTCAATTTTGTTCTCGCTGTTCAGCGGCTGTCGTTCATCTGAAAGGCACAAGTAAAAAACCCGTGTAGCGTGGCGACCACTGTGTGCTTACCTTTGATTTCATCTGCTATTGGGCCAGGAATCCCAAACCTCAAACGTGGTTCCGAGACTTCTGCCGTGCAGACTTCTCAGGAACGCGCAGCTTCCTTGAACAAGTCACACTGGGACCACCTCCGGTGGGAGAAGTATACGGGACCATTGTCCAGAAAGTTCACGAGGCCGAGGCGACGTTTGTCCCAAGAAAAACGGTACGCACTCGAATCAACCGCACGATGCCTAAAAGGATCCGGCGACCTCCGGAAAAAGGATCCCAACTCTGTTTCAAAACTTTGACCACAGGGGATACAGAAGATGAGCCGGCATTTCGTAAAATGTGGAACCGCTGTAAATCGGAAATCCGCCAATGGAACATACGAAAACAAGCCACTATCCTGGACCTCGCTCAAAAAACAAAAACGTACTGCTCAAGTACATGAGACATCGCCGCACAAACAAGCCATCCGCGTTCCCCTTGAAGGACAGAAGCGGAGAACCGACAAATGACGAAAACAGGGGTATCTGATGCTTAGAGAGAAAAATATGCATGTATATACTCAGCCCCAGCGTCCTCGTCACATCCACTCTTGTCAAGGAAAAACTACGAACATCCTCTAGCAGACTTGGACATTCGTCACCTCTTGCAAAAGCTCAACACATTCTGCGCATTGAGGCCAGACGAGGTCCATCCAAGGATCATTAAGGGAACACCCTCCACACTGGCAAACCATTTACACTTGGTGTTTCGTCAGTCGCTTGATGAAGGCCACATTCCCTCCGCTTGGAAAGGAGCTATTGTCACGCCAATATACAAAACTGGTGACCGAATATCGCCTGGCAGTTACAGACCTA